ATGTATTACACCAGTTCAGAAAAAAGCAAAGCAACTCCATACATATACAGCTTATACAGTTAAACCAAATTCTTTTGAAAAGATTGTTTAAGAATAAATCGATTTTGTTCAATTTGTTCATGTTTTTCACCCACTGACGAAATTAAACTATTATGGCCAAACTATCACGCCAATAAACAAACAGTAATAAACACTGAAAGTCAAGATTAAACTGTTTATTATAGCGAACTGACAGGATTTTACCTGGAGGATTTACTTTGATTTTATCGTTTTGATCCATGTCCTCAAGCACCATTTTGACTAACGCTAGTTCAGTTCCCAGTTTTACCGCTCATCAGTTGCTGCTCAATGTTGTGAGAACATACTCGGACAAAAACCTCCAGTTTTAAAAATTCCAGTCAGTTTCAAAAATCTCTCTCCTCTTCGTTTCAATTAGTTTTCTTGTATTTTCTACATATATTCCTGTCATAAGCGCCGCAAACACGGATAGACTCGTCTCATGCGCCATTCCAGCTGTTTGCTGCCGTTTTAAAGGAACACACTCCAGACAGTTTCAAAGTTGTCCCTCGTCTGCGCTTCGATTAGTTTTCTCCTATTTTCCACACATGTTCCCATCTTAAGCACCGCAGTCACGGATTTTGTCGCACACAGAACCGTTTACATTTGAACTCACGTGACTTGCTGCATGCTCTCATTCACGTCCTCCACATTCATAACCCAGCAACATCGGGTTACATATTACTGATATCAACCCAAATTGGGTCAAATCAAGCCAGCTTCCTAACCCAACAGACTCAACTGAGCGTTTGGATTGAAACAATTACCAGCGTGTTTTATATGTGCAGGCTATAAAAAAGTACACAGTGCATGTTTTTGCTAAATCGCTTGCAAATATAAGATTGTTGTTAGGTCATACATACCACATAATATTAGAATAGTTACCCCTTAGTTTCAAAATACTTACAGTAGAAATAATTTGTAATTTTACAGATTATTACTCCTTTATTCCCCAAACTTCGCATATTGTTCCCTTATACCTACACCGAGGTACAGAATAGGTACACTGTAATTACAAAAAAGTTACGCTGTAAATTTTGTTTACTTACACAGTACATTGCTGTTTGTAATCTAAAGTGTTACCAAAAGAAGTTCACCTTATCAGCAAAACTGCATACATTTATTTTAATATAAATTGTTTAAAAACGATCAAAATATTATTTGGCCAGTGGAAACTCTATTCTAAAATATTTATCTGAGAACTATTTGTTTCTCAACATTATGAAATCCTTCAAAATGGCCTGGCAGTAGAAATCACACAGAACAGAACAAAATGTTATAATTTCATATAAAGTAAATAAGAAAACTTAATAAATGCAATTGAAAACATAATGTCATTGATATGACAAATGATTTCAATATAATCTAAATGTTAATGCAGTGATTTCAATATTCATAAGGATTCATTTGTAAGTCTGTAAAGTTGTACGTAAATATTTTATGTTTTATATGTTGTCAAAATGCCAATATTGTACATTTCAGTATCTATTAAAATGTAAATAAATGTATGTTTAATAGAACAATACTTTACGTAAAAATACACACGAATACTCATGAGATCACGTTGGAATGTTCTTCCAAGCAAGATCACCCACATTGGGTTGTTTTTAACCCAGCATTTTTAGAGCATGATTAAGATATTTTGAGAAACTAAATTTATTAGTTTGCATGATAGGACTAGTTGTTATGATCCCAATATTCAGCACCATTTAGCCGCACTATAGAACATGTTCTCCTTCGCTGTGAGCAGAACACAGCAAGACACAGCAATTGTCACGCTCTGATTTTGGTTCAGCAAGAATCCAGGATCATGGCCTAATCCTTGTCTGTGGTTCTTGCCTCAATACCCAATAATCAGTCCTGCATTTACAATTGCTTTATGCATGACTGGGGAACAATAAGAAAAAGGACTAGTATGGTAAGATGGATACATGAAGAAGGTACAATTCTTCACTGCACTCATCGGGTGGGGATCCTTGACGTTTTGATGATATGTTATGCTGTACATGATGTGTACTTATCTTTCATGGATGTTGCCAGTGAGACACCTTATCCGATGTCAATCAGATCCCAGTTTCTGTGCGAACTTTAGCCTGGGTGAAAGATACCTTTTGTTGAGCTGATGTTGCCAATGACCTTTATATGGTGTTTGCAACAATGCAGCCCCAGCCTCATTGGGTGTTTCGGCCCTTTATCACAAGACACCCTCAGCCGAGGCAGGCCCACCACAGGCTGATCAGACCCAGGTGTGTGTCACTTTGTTACATGGTTATTTGGAAGCCCACACTGTGTCCATCCGCTTCAGCTACAGCCAGTGGCTGCTTCTTTCAGTGACAGTGGCCAGTTCCCTGACTATCATCCGCTGGACCTGTCCTCTGATGCCCAACTCCTTCAGCAGCCTTATAGTGGAACTAGCCACTAAGCCCCTGCAGCCCACTTCCACCGGGTATACTTTCACTGTCCAGCCCCACTCCTCTGCCTCAACTGCCAAGTTGGCATATTACACCTTCTACCTTTCAAAGGCCTCGTTAATGGCCTCTTCCCAAGGGGTTGTCAGTTTGACTATTATGACGATCCTACTGGAGTTGGACCAGAGAACCAGGTCTGGTCGCAGATTGGTGACTGCAATTTCAAATGGGAATGTGAGTCTATGGATTACGTCGACTCACATTTCCCAGTCCCTGGCTATATTCAGCTGACCTGCGTCAGGGGACAGGCACTTAGCCTGCTTTTTCACCCCTTCCCTAACAAAGGACTGCCTTTTTGGTAAGGTATTCTTGGCATTTTGGGGGATGGCGTTTTTTGGCACTCCCTTGGTCTCTATTGCTGCCGCCAAGCACTTCAGTGCTTGATTGTGGCGCCATGTGTACCTTCCCTGTGTCAGGCTGGTCTTACAACCTACTAGGATATGTCTGAGGCTTGCCGGGGCTGCACACAGGTGGCAGGCTGGGTCTTGTCCACACCATACCTGCAAGTTTGTTGGAGAGGGCAGCACATTATATGTGGCTCTCACGATAAAATTTTGCTTTTTGGTTTCCATGCTCCACAGCTCACTCCAAGTGATTTTACGCCATTTTATACCTTCCCACCTCATTCAGCGGCCTTGTTGGGATTGAGCGACTGCTCTAGCGCATCTAGTTGCTTCCTCCTGACGACTTACCTCCTCCACCACCAGGTGTTGATGTACCTTTGCTGTTGCCTTTTGCCATTTAGGTGTTATTATTCCAAACCTAAGACCCTCTCTACCATATTGGACTTGCCCCACAATATACCGGTGTCTGAGGGCTGCCTTTGCATCAGCAACTGTTGTAACTGGATTCCATTTCCTCTCTGTCACCAATGTTGGAGCAGCATCTCTTACGCAGGGATCACAGGATTCTTTAAGCGTCATCTCCAGCCTCGTTTTGGTGCATTTGTACTCCTCCACAAGGCTTGAAATAGGAAGAGAGAGAGCTCCATTGCCGTACAGCCCTATGCTGCTAAGGCATCTTGGTAGCCCAATCCATTTCCTCAATTGTGTACTCACCATTCTCTCCAGGTGCTTGGCATGAGATAAAGTGAGCTTGTATATGGAAATTGGCCACATAAGCCGTGGCAACAAACCAAACTGGAAGCACCACAGCTTCAACTTCTCTGGAAGAGCTGTACCATTGATTCTCTTGAGTCCACTGACTGTCTCTTGCAAGAGTTGTTCCACCTTTTTTGAGTCTTTAAGGTCTGCGGTGTACCAACGTCCAAGGCTTTTGATGGGTTTTTCCATGACCGATGTTATGGGCTCTCCCGCTATACAGTACATGTCATTAGTAAGTCGGCCTTTGACAATGGAGATGCTGCGAGATTTTCCGGGTTTAATCTCTATTTGTGCCCATCTGATGTTTTCCTGGAGCTTATCCAGCAGCCACTTAGTGCATGTTTTAGTCATTGTGATGGAAGTCATATCATCCTGATTGGAAGGAGACGCAACCCATTTTTCAAATGTTCCTCTCCAGGCAACCAATGGGATGCCTGATTTATGATCTCCATTGCCATAGTGAATGCCAGTGGAGAGATGGCATAACCTGCCATTATGCCACCCTCCAGCTGCTGCCAGGTTGTGGTACTGTCCTGTATGGTAATACAGACCTGAAGATCCCGAGAGTTGGCTTTTTATACATTATTATTTTACCTGGTAGACTGTACATAGACTTATGTGTAAGCTACGTGCACTGTTTTAAAGGCACGAGAAGCGAAATGGAGTGCAAAAGTGCAAACTGTGGTAATGAATAATGCGTGTTTCTTGCGAGTGAAATCATCCTACAGCTGAGGCAATTGCTCCAAAAAAATATAGAGTTTCATCTCAATCTTCTTCAAATTAGCTTTTTTGTTCTTTATGAATAAAATTAAGAATAATGCATGAACTACTGTTAGGAATCATGGCTTGACCCAGTAAAGATACTAATTTGCACAATGGGGATGAGGAGTCAAAGTTGAGTTCACAGCTGACAAAGAGTTTACTGAAGTTCACCACATTTCCAAAGACGGAAGATGCCTTTTGATTTAAAAATGTTTATAAATTATCATTTTTATTTTTTAAACAGGGGGAAAGGACATTGGAACAGCAGTCAGTCCAAATCAACACCTACAACAAGACAAGACTAAAGAAAATGTATACCTTATTTCACAAACTCCATCTTGATGTCAGTCACTTAAATAAACTGAGAGCTGCAGATGTTCTTCAGATAACTTCATTACAATCCTATGAGTCTTGTACCGAAGAGGAGATGATTCAGACTTTCATACAAAAACTGCTGATGATGAACTATAGAGCAAGAAACATTAAAACTATAGAAACCAACGAACAGTCTCAAACTCATCAAAGAGACAATGACTCATCTGAAGATGAGAATGATATTTTTGATGATGTTTTTAACATCTCTTTGTCAAAAACAGGAACAAGTCAATCTGAGCAAATCCACCCAATGGATGTTCAGATGGTCGTGTTTCATTGTGCGGATGGTTTCCTGAAGCAGCTGATGGTCACTAAACTGTCCCAGTGTCAGTACGCTCTGCCTCTGCTTGTTCCTGATCCATTCACACAGCAGATTGAGTTTCCTCTCTGGACATTCAGACAAATCAACAAGAGCTGGAAGATGAGAAACACCAACAATGAGGTCATCAGTCAAACCCATCCGATCTACAAGGCACAAACTCCAATGGTGTTTTTTTTCAGGTTTGGCTCCGTGTCTTCATCTAAGTCTCAGCTGATGAACAGTCTGATCAATGAGAAACACAACACGTTCTTCCACCGGAACTGCCCAGGCGGCAGCAGAACCAGAGTCCTGATGGATGGAGTGGTGGAGATCGCCTGGTTCTGCCCCTCTGGGAAAAACACAGATAAATTCACTAATTGTGTTGCTTTCTGTAATCTACACGGTGATGCAGGAGAACATGAGAAACAGCAGCAGATCCTCACTGAAATGGCCTCAGTAAATGTTATTATTCTACCACGACTGGACAGGAATGACAGACATGCAGAAAAGATCCAAAACCTGTACAGGAACAGAAAGCCACTCATTTGTATTTTTACTAAGGATGAATCTGCTGTAACCGAGATGAAAAAAAGAAGATACAAAGTCGGTTTGAAAGGCAGAAATCAGTCAGATGTATCTGAAGAACTCAGACGAGTAATAAATAAGTGTCTCTTGGGATCATCTTCCACTTTCAGACTTGAAGATGTGTCCAAACACACAGATATCAGAGTAGATGAGGAATATGATGATGACTGCAGGAGAGGAAGAGAAGCAGCACAGCAGATGATGAGTTTACTGGAGAAGAAAGATCTGACAGAAATCAAGGAATCATGTCTGCCTCATCAGGGGAAACTGTGGCATCAGTGGAGTCAGATGAACAAAGAACTACATCGACCTCGAGCAGATGAGACAGAAATGGACTTCAGTAGGAAACACACGGAAATGAAGAAAATCCGTGAGCAACAGCATAAATCTGATGTCAGCAGGTTTATGAAGCTCTTTATTAGAGAAATGAACTCAGATACCACAAACAAGACGTTTTTCCTCAAATGGCTCAGAATCCTCCTGGATGAACATACATCAGCTGATCTTTCTGCTCTACATCACAAATATGATGAAAAATGTTCAACGATCCTAAAACTGAGGGGGAATCATGATAAACCTGAACAACTTAAAGCTGAACAGACTGAACTTGAGAGAATATCTGAGAAACTTCAAGCTGCAGCCTTTGGTTTGGAGCACGTCATGAGGGAGGTTGGCCAGATTTACGAATCATGTTCATCTGTCAAGAAGAACAAGGAAGACTTGCAGTTTCACTTCTCTTCTCTCCCGAGTCTTGCAGCAGAGATGATGATCTCTGGATTTCCACTGGAGTTGATGGATGGAGATGCTGCTCATGTGCCTGTGATCTGGATCTCTGCTGTTCTAGATCAACTCATCCAGAAACTGGGAGACCAGAGAGTCTTTGTGCTGTCAGTTTTAGGGATTCAGAGCACTGGGAAATCAACCATGCTGAATGCAATGTTTGGACTACAGTTTGCCGTCAGTGCTGGCAGGTGCACCAGAGGAGCTTTCATGCAGCTGCTCAGAGTGTCAGACGAGATGAAAACACAGATGAACTTTGACTATATTCTGGTTGCTGATACTGAAGGTCTTTATGCTCCAGAACTGGCTGGAAAATCAACAAGACATCATGACAGTGAATTGGCCACATTTGTTGTTGGTCTTGCAAATCTGACCTTGATCAACATCTTTGGAGAAAACCCATCTGAGATGCAGGACATTCTTCAGATTATTGTTCAAACTTCAAGCTGCAGCCTTTGGTTTGGAGCACGTCATGAGGGAGGTTGGCCAGATTTACGAATCATGTTCATCTGTCAAGAAGAACAAGGAAGACTTGCAGTTTCACTTCTCTTCTCTCCCGAGTCTTGCAGCAGAGATGATGATCTCTGGATTTCCACTGGAGTTGATGGATGGAGATGCTGCTCATGTGCCTGTGATCTGGATCTCTGCTGTTCTAGATCAACTCATCCAGAAACTGGGAGACCAGAGAGTCTTTGTGCTGTCAGTTTTAGGGATTCAGAGCACTGGGAAATCAACCATGCTGAATGCAATGTTTGGACTACAGTTTGCCGTCAGTGCTGGCAGGTGCACCAGAGGAGCTTTCATGCAGCTGCTCAGAGTGTCAGACGAGATGAAAACACAGATGAACTTTGACTATATTCTGGTTGCTGATACTGAAGGTCTTTATGCTCCAGAACTGGCTGGAAAATCAACAAGACATCATGACAGTGAATTGGCCACATTTGTTGTTGGTCTTGCAAATCTGACCTTGATCAACATCTTTGGAGAAAACCCATCTGAGATGCAGGACATTCTTCAGATTATTGTTCAGGCCTTCCTGAGGATGAAGAAGATCAGACTGAATTCCAGCTGTGTGTTTGTGCATCAAAACGTTTCAGACGTTACAACTGGAGAGAAAAACATGGAGGGAAGGAGACGACTGCAGGAGACACTGGATGAAATGACAAAACTCGCTGCTAACGATGAAATATGTGATGCAGAAAGTTTCAGCGATATCAGTAGATTTGATGTTCAGAAAGATGTTAAGTATTTTGCTCATCTCTGGGAAGGAAACCCACCCATGGCACCACCAAACCCAAACTATTGTGAGAACATTCAAGATTTAAAGGAAACTATAATAATTCATGCATCAAAATCACATGGAATAATGCTGAAAGATTTCAACGATTATATTAAAAAGTTCTATACAGACTTATTGAAGGAACGATTCATCTTCAGCTTCAGAAATTCTCTGGAGATTTCAGCTTACAGGAAACTGGAGACTAAATACAGGAAGTGGTCCTGCAGTCTTCGCAGTGCCATGATGGAAACTGAGAACAAACTACACAACAAAATAGAATATAAAATAATTAATGAGGTTGAGGAAACTGACCTTCAAAGAGAAATGAAGGAGACAAGTGAAGAAGTGAAAAAATCAATGTCAGAATTCTTTGAGAAAGACAGAGATAAAGATATACTGATTCAGTGGAAAACATCATTTGAAATAAAAATCAGAGACCTTCAGGAAAACATTGTGAGAGAAACAAAGAGGAAATTAAATGAGATTCTTCAACAGCCACACCTAAAGAAAAAGATTGATGCTCAGAGGACACATCATGAAAACACTCTGTATGAAAAGAGCAAAGAACTTGCCTTAAAACTCCGAGACAAAGCAAATGATGAAGAAAAACTGAAGAAAGAGTTTGATTTGTTTTGGGAACAAAGTGTGAAGAAGATCAGAGACAATCCTCCAATCAAAGAGATTGATATCGTGAGAGATGTGAGAGAGATTCTCAGTGACAACTATAAAAGTGCTCCTATAGATCACTGGAGGGAGACCAGGGATATCTTCACTTTGCCGAGTTATTCAGATTATGTAAATTGCAAAAATTTCACAAACAGTGAGAAAAATGAGGTTTTCAGAACAGCAAAAGAAACTCTGTCTCCAGAGCATGAAGCCCAAATAAGATCATTAGTCACAGATGTTATTCAGCAGACAGACAACATGATTCAGTCATTTAACATTTCAAAGATGGGCTACAATAAAAGCTGCCTTACACAACTCATAGACTACGTCAAGACAAGAGTAACAGAACATCAGAAATATGTGTTCAAGAATGAATTCTTCATGGATTTGGTTCTTTCCATCTGTAAGAGAGCAAACAAAATGATCACTGACCAACACAGACTGTTCAGAGACGCCAATGATCCTGAAATATATGTTGAGAAGAAGAGAGAAGAGTACTATAGTATTTTCCAGAAATACTGTCATGGAGCTGCTTCAGCTGCCATTTTTGGAGAGATCATCTGTCAGAAACTCAAAGAGCCCATTGAGCAGAGCGTCTACAAGAAGACTGCCAAAGATCTGACAGATGAAATGAGATCAAACTGTGAATCACTGAATGGAAACAGATCAAATCTGGAGAAACACATCCTGAAGACACTGGCAGAAGAGGAGGATTTTGACAAATACATGAACTACATTAATAATTCCAGAGATCATTTCAAGGATTTCATAAGAGATGAAGTGAGTCAGTACATCACTGATAAGTTCAGTGTCAGTGTTTTGCCAAAGATGAAGGAGAATATTAAACTCCTGCAGCAGAAGATCATGAAAGCAGCACATGAATCTACTGAACTTGTTCAAGAGAGCAGAGGAGATGTTGGTTTGTGGTTGAAGAGTTTCACACAGCAGCTCTCAGATGAGCTGATCTTCTCTGAAAAGGACCTCAGTGGAGTCAAACATGATGGTGTTAAAGATTTCAACCTCATGGAAAATGTGATAAAAAAAGAACTTCCTGCTATAATGTCTGATATCAACAGTAGATTCAACACAAAGTCATTTGATGAAAAACTGGACTATAAATTCAGGCCAGAAGAGCTTCTGATTGATCACTTCTGTCAGTGCTGTTGGGTTCAGTGTCCGTTTTGTGGAGCCACCTGCACCAACACCATAGAAAACCATCCTGGAAAACACAGTACTCCTTTCCATCGTGTTACTGGACTAAAAGGGATGAAATACAGGAATACAACAAACTTGTCAATTAGCATCTGCACATCAGCAGTAGCAAGTTATCGATCTTTTTATCCCAATGACTCTAAAAAGTCAGTCTCCTGGAGAGAATATAGAAATGCAGGAGGAATTTATACAAACTGGAGCATCACCCCTGATCTCTCCGAACTGCTCTACTGGAAGTGGTTTGTGAGCAGATTCCAGAAATATCTGAAGAAATACTACAATAAAACATCAATAGGATATTTTAAAATACCAGATGAATGGAAAACATACTCAAAACAGGCTGCTATTGAAAGTTTGAATCAGTACATGTAATTGAGCAGATAAAGAATGTCACTCTTACGTCTCCTCTCGGATGCTCCTCAGATCACATTTAGAAATGAGTTTCTCCTACATTCATCAGTGAGACTCTGAGCTCATTTATACCTCAGAAGAGCAGAGCTTTATCAAATACAACAGAAGAGGATTAAAGACAAGATTCAGTTCCACATGCATGATCTGAACTACAAAACAACATATTTCTGAGCATATGCCTGATTGTTAAAGCTAAATGAATGATGTATATTATGGTTTATTACTAATCAAAACAGCTTAATCTCTATCAAGATTAATTATAAGGATATTAATGATAGACGTTTGAATATATAAACATGGGGTGACATTGTTATAACTCAGTGCTGGTATTCAGACAGTTGAAGAAAAGTGTGAAAAAACAAAATTGTGCAAAGTGTTTTAAAATCAAATGTCTCTGACCTGTTGATCTGAACATAACTCACTGCTAGGAACTTTTTCTTCACAGAAGTTTTGTGTTTAGTGAGCTTGGTCTGTGTTATTGGTCTGTATGAAAAATGAGGAAGAACATTTTTTTTACAAGATATTTCATAATATCTTTATCACATTTATTAGAATTTGGGCCTACAGACTCTGAAATGTTTACTCTAACTTTTGATAATTGATAATGGTAAGACATTGATAATAATCAGAAATGGTTCTTGAGCAGCAAATCAGTATATTAGAATGATTTCTGAAGATCATGTGACACTGAAGACTGGAGTAATGATGCGTCTTCATCTTTGATCACAGCAATAATTTACATTTTACAATATATTTACATAGAAAATCGTTATTGTAAATTGTAAAAAATATTTCACAATATTACTGTTTTTATTTTATTTTTGATCAAATAAATGCAGCCTTGGTAAGCCAAAGAGACTTCTTACAAAGACTTCAAATCTTCCTAACCCCAAACTTTTGAAAGGTAGTGCAAATTACAGTTCTGATGTTCCTCCCACTTAAATGATACTGTGGCTTATGTAGTCCATTCTATAGAGACCATATCTGTTCCCCGGATACTGAGAACAAATGCGTTTACTAAGGGTGATTAAACCAGATAATGGGCATTCTGAATCTGTGATTTCTAGAATAGTGCATCTTTACAATGTCAGTAACTCATTCAAGTCCCCCCAAAAAGGCTGGTCATCCACGAAAGACAAATGTACGAGAGGACAGGATAATGCTGAGAATCTCAACGGGGAATTGGTTCCACACTGCAGCTGGAATTGACCTAGCGGTAAACCCCTCCCCTCGAAGGAAGATGAGCCAATGGCAGTAGAGTATCAGTTGCGCGGGGAGCGCAACTCGGACATCTTTAGGTTTTAGCGCCATAGAGAAACATTGGAAGATCTGAAGCTTTCATCGGTTTGATGGTGTTTATGCTACGAAAATGGAAAAACTATGTGTCTGTGGTACTTGTAACACTGATTCCAGGTATCCTGAGAGGATGGGCAACATATTTTATTTAAAATTTATTTTATTACATTTCCTAAACCCAAACAAAACGGAGCAAAATGTCCCTAAGCATTCAACCCCAATCCCAATGAAGACGGAAACATTCGTTTTCTGGTTGTCATACTCTCATTAAGTTACAATTTTCATCTGCTCAAGCAGAATGTTAATGTCATCTTGCATTTAATCTCTGGCTAAAACCAGCTAACGTTAAAGTTAGTAAGTCGATGCTATTACAAACCTAAATAGCCAACTGTTCTCACATCATGTACAGTTTAAGTCAAAAACACATAAACGAAGGTCTACATTTCAGTGCCTCTCCATATTAAACTGGTTAAATGTACATTAATTTAATCGTACCCTGCAATACATGAACAGTGTTGATCCAGGATGTTGTCATCTGCGATCGTGACGACTGTAATATGAGACTTCTCCCACTTGCATTGTGATCTGTGAACCCTCGCTTCGAGTTACCCACCATATTTATTTTAAAATCTTTTATATATCCCTCCATGGAATATTTAATTCCCACTTGAATGGTGGCCCTTCTGTGTCCAAAATTGTGCAAAAACATTGTGGGACAAGGTTTTCACACTGACAGCTGTCATTGTAAGACATTGAGCAGCTCCGTTTGTTTGTCCGAGGGAGCAACAGTAACTAAGGGGGGCGGGGCTTACCGATAGGTCAATTATTCGCCAATTCAGCACTGAAAAGGGCAAGGATCTGTCTCTGCATACAGTGGCTCCATGTTTAAGAGAATTTGAACTGAAAGTGCACTCTGCAGTGACCAAGCCTCTCATCAGCAGAAAGAATCAAAAGGCTAGACTCTCCTCTGCTGAGGAGCATGTTGTGTGGAGAGAGGAGAACTGGTCCAAAGTTCACTTTAGTGATGGGAGTCAGTAAACGTTACTCTTGTAGGTCTGGATCTTCCCGCTTTCACCATGTTACCAATATTTCATACATATCTCATGAGTAAGAGTGCTGTTGATCTGAATATCAGTATGGTGGCTGTGATTGGACCGTGATGATCATATGACTGATATCCAGCAATACAACACTCACACTTTCATATTGATTAAATACAACCAGGGCCGGATTATGATGCGGCGGTGCCCTGGGCACAGATGGATTTAAAGGCCACCCTCAGTTGATAGTAGAGGGCTTCATTGGGACTGGGATTGGGATCCTCGCGGGAACGGGAGGTTTAACCTTTACTGCGGGCGAGTGGACGGTCAAAAAAATATAACACAAGTCCCGCCATCCCGCGATCTGGCACATAACAAGAATGATAGAGTTACATAAACACTAGGCTTGCTGCTGTAGTCATTGTTACTGTGTTTGGTCGTACACCGATGACATTACTCGCCCACCGCGGCACTGTCCCCATTGTTGTTTTGCATTTTTATAGAAATAAAAATAATTTAGTTCAGATTGAAAACAAACTGCTACACTAAATTGAAAGCGTTTGCTCAGCTCCATGCAGTCAGGGTTGCCAGGTCAGCATGACAAAACTACCCCATGCCAGTCAAAAACAGTCCACAGTAGCGCAATGACCATATCCCAAATATCAAAATATGTCATTTCCATACCTAAAATACACATTTCACAGCCATTGCTAGGCACATTGATCATAAACACAGCTCAAAGGCTTCCTACCAGTAGCCCTCTTTCACAAAACTTAACATCTAGTGCTTTTATCATAGGTAGGTGAACAGCGAGCGCTTATTCAAAAGCAATTTCTATACCCCAGATATTGATAGCAGCTCCCTGATGCACAAAAATTATATACAATATTAGAATATTTGCGGGAGCGGGCGGGACTAGGGTTGGGAATCGAAAATCGATTCCAATTCCAGAATCGGATACTTAATGTCAGGAATTGGATACTTGTTGCGAAATTAAAATTTCGATTCCGCCTATCAATTCCTATGTGCTTTTTTTTCTTTTTCTTCTTCATCTGTGAGGACTGGACCTTGCTTGCTAATCTAAGCGCTCCAAAGTTTGGCTACATTTGCGATCAGAAGCCAAAAAAGCTAAGTATAATATCTGTGATAGCTACACATGTTGCAAGAGAGGTGTCATCACCAACATGACAAAGCACTTTAATTTAATAGATTGTTAAAGTTCGTGAACACGATTCAAACACCAACGTGATTCTATTCCTAAATCACAATGATTCATCTTTCATTCCTCAACCTTTGACGTGTCCGATCAATGTTGTGATCACTTGGTTCGTCCGTGCAGCGAATGATCACATCAGTGTTATTTGAACATTTAAAATTGCATTCGCACTGCCGTTGACCTAAAGAGAGCAGTCGTCATCTGTCATGAATGAAACAGCTTCACAGTCTTTTCAACCTCACAGTATCATTATTTTCAGGCTAATTGACATTTACCCAATTATTTCAGTCAAGTGTGTCTGTTTGCTAATTTCAGAATTTTCACATCATAATTATAAATAACTATATATGATCATTCTTTTTTATATTACATCAAATCACTGAAGCAGTAAATTATACAAATGCACATTTTCAATGTTTGTTCAACATGAGACGAAATTAATAATTATTTCAGCTATAGAGGTGAAAATATTATTTGTTCATTGAAGTAAATGGATGTAAAATGTTATTACTGATCCACAGCATTGCTGAAAGAAATATAAATACTTAATATAGATATAGGCTACTTGATTAAACTTTTTTTTTATCTGATTCGCAGAACAACTGTTTACTCTGCGACTCACTGAAATCTCTGACAAAGTCTGAATCAGTTTCAGATCACAATATGTCATCACTTGTATAAACTAACATGATTACATGATTTCTTTGATATAAAATAGTTTAATGTTGTTATATATAATGTGTTCCTTATCCATTAGGTGGCAACCAAATGCTTGCTAAGAGCAAGTCTGTCTGTGTATCTATGAATAGTCACATTTTTTGCTTTTGCATACAGTCTAAAGCTTTGATGTTAATAAAACTCACACGTTAATGAAACTAAGTTGCTTTATTGAAACATCACATGGTGTCAGAAGTGGAGCGTCATTAACACCATGGCAAAGTTTCAGCCTCCGGACAGTTTTGATTTTGGCCACCTGAATGATGGCCAGATTGGCGTCAGAGATTTCGCTGCTACAGGATAGCCACTAAACTGTACAAATAAGAGGCTGAAGTACAGGTCTGTCGTTTGTATAACCTGAGAAGTCCATGATGCCAGCAAACCACAAGAGGGCAGCAATGTAATGCATTTCCTGGGTGAATTAACTCACATTGATGACAATTGTGAAGCATGGATTGTTGCACTCCCAATTCAGGGCACACACATAGACTTTAAAATTGATACAGGTGCTGACATGTGTAATTTCTGAGAAAACTTTTGTTGAAGAACCATGATGGATAGTTGAAACCAGTGGCCTACTGTTCCAGGGTGCTGACCAATGATGAAAAAAGGTACTCCCAGATCGAAAAAGAGTGCCAGCTGTGTGGTTCTGTGAAAAATTCTCAAGGTTTCTGTATGGATTGGAAAGTTTC